CACTACAGTGGAATTAAACACACTCAGTAAAGAGGATTTAAGAATTGCTTCAGAAAGCGGGAAGAACAACGGGATAAGTGTGTTCAGAGTGAGGGGGAGAATTTTGAGGGTGCTTAATGGCAATGTGTTTGAAAAACAAAACTTATATGTATATATAAGGAGAGCTGGGATAGGTGTATTGCTGATGTCTGTGGTTTATTGAAAGGGACAGTCAATGCTTACGATTTTCTTTTTTCTTGAACAATTTTACACGCTTGAATTTGGTAATCAGAATGACTGATCTGAAAACAATATGCAGTATAAGAACCATTATTGAACTCCTACCATCTTGTATGGTGAAGCTCTGCATCATTTCCAATGTTTTTTTAAAATTATTTTTATTGTTTTTTACTTGTTACTATCTTTGATTGTTTGATCGATCTTACATTCTGATGTCTAATGGACTGAGCAACCTCATTGAAGATAATAGTACGTAATATAGCAACCACTGTAAATTTCTATCATTTTGTCTCGAGGTCATGTATCATTTGTTTCGTTTTTGTGTTGTTTTGATTTTGTCTTCATTGTTGTCCTCTCAGTTTTTTAATTTTTAAAATAAAAAAAATGGCAATGTATTTTCTATGCAATAAATTTTTAAAAATTGAAGTACACACCATATTTTTCTAGCATACCTCATACATCTTCCCCGTGATTGTGTTCTAGTGATCACTTTGGCTCTTGAGAGAAATAGAGAAACACTGGGAATTTATCATTTTCTTTCTGTCAAATTACATGTTTTCCTATAATCAGATTCTTAGCATAAAAGTTCATAAACTTTTAGATAGACTCTTGCAGTTGTTACTTTTTTATGTCCTGGTTAAATACATCTAATTTAAAAGAAAAATTAAATTTAAAATTCTATTAACTTCTCTAGTTCAGAACCGAAAATTATAGTCTTAGGCATTTATCTGCAGTTGACATGGTTTCTTTATTGTTGTTATTAAATGACAGTCTTAAAAATCTTCCAGAGTTTAAAAGTAATATTTATCAGGCAAAATAACATCTCTGGCAACAGTGATTTAAAATATATATATATATATATATATATATATATATATATATATATCTCACAAAGTTAAACCCTTTAAAGCATAATTCATAATGCATAGCAATTTAAAGAGAAAAATAAAAAGTGGACAATAGGAAAAAAGGAGATAGATTTTTTGCAAGTGGGAAGAGGACCAAGAGATGGATGGAGAGAAGAAAGGGAAGTATAAAGAATTAAGATATGTTATATACATGTAGCAACTCTCCATGATGAATGTAATCATCATGTACTACAAACATGTACTAATAAAAATTATAAAATGAATTTAAAAAATACTCCACATACATCATTCCATTGCACCCTTGTTGCCCAAAATTCAAATTCTAACATGTGCTGTAAGTATAAAAGACCTGTTCTACTAGTGATTTCCTGCAGATCTGCCAAATTTTGATTAACTGAACTAACATTTATTAAGCCATTTGAACATTAAAGCTTGGAATATAGTGAAGAATAATTAATTCCAAACTAACTGCAAATTATCATAACTTTGATTTTTAAAGAAACAAAGGACCACAAATTTACTGCGTGTATGTTAAATCAAGAATTTCCAGGACAACTGGGACACCATTACAGAATCAGCCCACCACCCCAGGGACTCATGGGTTACAAAATAAGCTCTTGTAAAATCTGCCCATATATAGCCCTTCGTTATCAGCAATCTCAGGTTATTTCAGTGACTTACACAATACCTGCCCTAGAACTTCCCACATGCTGTATCAGTGGTAAAGGACTGATTCTAAGAATAGCCAGCTGTTTCCCAGACATCAACAGTTGCTAAGAGGTAGACTGATTTTTCTCTCATGCAAATTTAGGAAGTTAACTACTGTAGTCACTAGTGCCCCAGACTCACAGGCATTACCCACCCGCCATCTTGCACCATCAGCCACAGCCCAGTCCTTCTGGATGACACCATTACCTTCAGTTGCTGAGGCTGTGCAGCCCTTAAGACTCTCAGAGAAGCCAGGGCTCCTATGCCTAGGTGGCTGAGCAGAGACTGATACCCAGTGTACAGATACACCACATGGATAGGGGTAACTGACCTTGCCCACTATGGTTTTTCATGGGAAATATATTACAACATCCCTCAGAATACATTTAAGCACTGAGCACAGCTATTTGGGAGTCTGAGGCATGACAGTCATGGGTTCAAGGGCAGCCTTGGTAATTCAGCAAGGCTTGGTCTCAAGAAAGAAATAAGCCAGATTAGTGGCACATGCCTATAACCCTAGAATTATGGGAGACTGAGGCACAATAATCCATGGAGGCCAACTTGGACAATTTAGCAAGGTCTTATATGAAATGAAATGAAATGAAATTAAGGCAGTGGGCTGGAGAAGTAATTCAGTGGTTAAACACTTGCCTAGCATGCAAGAAACCTTGGGTTCAATCCTCAGCACTGTTAAAAAATACATTAAAAATAAAAAAATTAAGAAAAATATTAAGAATACTCAGGAGCTTAGCCTGATCACAATTTGGAAGCCAGCTTTTCTATTATTCACAAATTATTTCCCTAAATGACTTAAGGCAGCCAAAAGAAATTACAGACACTGGCTGCCTGTGACATCCTCAGTACTACAGGGCAGTGTATTTGTATTGTATTTGAGAAGGGATTTTTACTAACGGGTTGGAATTTTCAACCGACCATGTTGTTTAATTCTTCATTAAGAATACTACTTATCTAGTTATTTGTAGACTTAGCTTTTAAGAAAATGTAGCTTTCATAACAGAGATTTGAAATATTCCTTTTATGGTAAATGCTTTTCGCCACATCCTTCACGTATAGAATTACCCCTTAACCTCCTGGCGTTAAGCTTTGCCTGGCTTGCCCTCCCTCTGCTGTCCTAAGTCGCTCCTTTCCCTGAATGCTCCAGAGTAGACATGGCTCACTTTCACCCAACCCATGTGTCCTGAATCTGAGGAGTGAGTCAGATTTCTGGCTTCTAGAAACTTCCAGAATAAATCTCCCACCCCACCCCCACCCTGAGGGTGATCACTGAGGGATCACCCGCCATGGGATTCGGGCTTCTCTGAGACTCCTTTGAACATACCACTCTTTCCCTCCCATCTCAGCCACAGATCAGCCTGTCTTCTCCTCTACTGTCACTGAGGACATAGGGTAGGTACCCATCTGTGTCATTGCCACTCTCACCATCAGCTGTGGCGACTTCAGTGGACAGCTCCCTCATTACCTTGTTCTGAAGATTTCTTTCTCTCTCTGTCTTCACTCTCTTTCCCTACTTCTGTCTTTTAACAAATTTCTAGCGATGTCTCTTTACTGTCTTGTTATATAAGTCACTCTGTATTTGGATGTGGGTGTAGGGTATCATAATGCCTCACCTGTAAAATAATCTCTTTAATAAATGCCTACTTGCAACAGCTCTGCCTCTGTGTAAAACTATTTAGAAGTCTCCTGTTTCCAGGAGATTTCCACAGCATATTTCAGCCATTATTTAATTGGAACCTCTAAATAATCCTAAAAAGTAGATCATTTTATTAGCCTTAGTTTGTAGTAAGGGTGTGGAGCTCAGAACGGTTATGCTAGTTGTCCAAAGTCACAGGGAGTCAGGGCTTAGTGCCTGTTTTCTCTCCCTCTCTCCTACCCTTGCTACTCCACTATGTCCGCAAGTGCAAGAGAAATAATCCTGCCTTCAAAGCATCATTGAAAAACATCCCTGAAAAAGTCACAGACACATCACACACACACACACATCTTACAAACAGTGAAAAAGTGAAGCTATTTTTTTCATCTGAATAGATTTTTCAAAAAAGCTTTAGTGAGTAAGTTACTATTCCTGGTGATGACAGGGTTTCCCAGTCTGGGTCACCCAGATGCAGACTGTTTCTAGATATAATCTCTTTGCAACTCAGTGTCTATTCATTCACCTAAGAAGGTGAATGAGAACTATCTAGAATATTCTTGTAACTAAACTCTTCCCCTCCTAAATATTCCTTTCTTTCTTTTCCTTTCTTTCTTTCCTTCTTTCTTTCTTGCCTGCCTACCCTCCCTCCCTCCTTCTTCTCTTCTCTTCTCTTCTCTCCTCTTCTCTTCTCTTCTCTTCTCTTCTCTTCTCTTCTCTTCTCTTCTTTCTCTTCTCTTCTTTCTCTTCTCTTCTCTTCTCCTCTCTTCTCTTCTGCTATGCTCTCCTGTCCTCTTTTCTCCTCTCCTCTCTTCTCCTGTCCTCCCTTCTCCCTCCCTTCCCTTCCCTCCCCTCTTTTCTTTTCCCCTCCCTTCCCCTCCTCTCTCCTCTCTTTTATCCCACCAGGCGATCCAATCCAGAGCACTCTACCACTGAGCTCCATCCCCAGGCCTTTTTAAATTTTATTTTGAGACAGGGTCTCACTGAGTTGCCCAGGCTGGCCTCCACTTGTGATTCTCCTGCCTCAGCCTCCCAAGTAGCTGGGGTTACCTGTTGCCAATGTCACCTCACCCCTCATCAATACAGTACTCTATGGTGACTTCTCATGCTGTGGTGGTGACAAAGCAGACTCTCCACCAAGGCCAGATATCCTCACTTCATCCTGGTCTAGGCTGGCGTTCCTGGGGCTAAGTTCACAGAAAACCAGTCTGTAGAACAGAGATGACTCTATGGAGGGCACCTCTGGATATGCCTGCCTGCTGGCCCTGCACGACCACAAAGGCGGGGCCAAGTAGCGGGAGAGAAGGCCAAGCACAGCGTTAATAGCGGCACACATAAACCGCATTTCTCATCTTGAGCAAAAGCAGACTCAGGGTCTGTTCTGAAAAAATAATTTATGTATTTAAACTCCGCTTATTCTAAAAATGGAGTCGAGGTGGAGGGAGGCATGCTAGCTATCTTCAAATATTTAGAAGCTATCATGCAGAAGAGGAATTAATGACCAGAGGGATTTTTTTTCCTGGACACATGGCGGCACAGTGATAAGGGCAATGATGCGGAAGCTGACGCCTGAATGTAAATCTTGACTCTGCTTCTTAGTAGTTATGCATCTGTGGCCAAGTTATTTGGCCTCCTACTATGCGCTCTCTTCAGCTGTAAAATGAGGGTAATAACATCTGCCTCATGGCTTTCCAGGGAGAGTGAAAGGAGCTCATGTTTGTGTAGCAGTTAGCTAAGTGTCTATCACATGTGAACATACAGGAAATGGTAAGAATGAAAAGAAACCTTGGAAGATGGAGTGCATCGCTCAGTGGGGTTGGTGATCCTGTCGTCAGAGTTAAGATGTTCAAGCTCAGTGTACACAATCCTTAGGGATGCTGGATGCATGATTCAAACATCGATAGGGTGTTTGGACCAGATAAATGTTAAAGTACAGGTCATCCCCTGTACATTATGAGTCTAGTGTGCCGTTAGTTAAGGAAGAAAGTACATCAGAAAGAGCAGTTGAAACATATTGGTCCTGTCTGAAATTAACAAATCAAAATAGAAAACTTTACAGGGAAAATAGAGAAACAAGCTGTTAGCCCAGCAAGAGGCGCGGTTCTCTGAGGAATCTGCATTTCTCACACATGTTTCTTTCAACTTCTGTATGGTTTTGGTATACTACCTTTGTACTGTGTTTGTGTGGAAGTTCAGAATAGTTTGATTTTTTTGAAAAGCACTTCAGACACCACTGAGCAAGGGGAAAGATATTCAGAAGTTGTGTGGGGTGGTACAACCAAGGCGAGACACACAGTTTAGTCACACTATGTTTCATAGTATTTTCAGGATAAATGACTTTCCATTTGTTTTCATGAAATCAACTCTCACAATTTTGTTCACTTGTTTGGGGAACTTGTGTGTGCATATATTTTTTTTTTACATTTTAAAATTTTCCATTCATTTAAGGTATGTTTCAGGCTACTTGTCTGCCTTCCAGTCACTGCATTATTACTTCACTGAAAAGACCAGTGGTATATGGGAAAAAAAAAAAAAAAACACCAATGCTTATGCAAACTTAATCTCTGTTTTGAAAACATTAAAATAAGTGCAATAAAAAAATCACTAATACACTATTACCCATAGGTGATTAGAAAGACTGTGAAGAGAAAAAGTGAGAAAAAATTTGCTTAAAAATATTTAAAATCAGTCAGGCATGGTGGCACATGCTTGTAATCCCAGCACTCAGAAGGCTGAGGCAGGAGGATAGTTGCAAGTTCAAGGCCAGCCTGGACTACCAAGTGAGTTCAAGACCAGCTTCAACTGCATTGTGAGACCCTGCCTCAAAAAAGACAAAAACAAAATTTAAATCATCTCTTCAGTGTATTTTTGGTTGAAAAAAAGTTAGGATTCACTTAAACTTTTGGACATGTTTTTGTTATTAGCAAGAAAATTCATTAAATGTTATACATTTTTAAAAACCATTGCTATATTCACCTTCTCCTTTGAGGAACAGCTCCAAAAATGCAGCCCATGTTTCAACGCAAGGAAGATTGGGATTATCTCTGTAGTAGTGGAATAGGGAAACGGCTGTATCTTTCGGATTTCTAACGATGTAGATAATCTGTTTAAAAAAATATCAATTACTCTTGGATGAAAACTTCAACACACAACATTTTCTGAAAGAAACCAGTAACTAAAGTTGCCTGCATAATCATGACTTTTAGGGGCAGTTTTAGCTGATGATTAAATGAAGTCAGTCTTAGGTTAGTGTCTCTTAAAGCTTAATGTACATCATGTTCATCAGAGAACCTTGTTACAAAACAGATTTTGATTCAGGGTGCCCAGGAGGAGGACTGGCACCCTGCATTTTTAACAAAATTTGGGTGATGTTCGTGCTCCCAGGCCATCAACCACACCTTCTCAATTTATATGCTAAATTCGGTCTTTGTTTTAGAGGCAAACATGGGAAAACATTCTCTTCCTTGGTGGAACACAATTACTTTTCAGTTATTCATCTACCACAAAGCATTTATGTACAATAAGGTTCCTTCAAATTTTCTATTTTCTGTATGAATAATAATGTATTACAATTTCTCTTTTCTACAATTCAGTCTCCCAGAGAGTACCCTGAGATACCTTCCTAATTTCATGGACACTGAAATGCCAATTGAGTTTAATTCAATAAATATTTATTTAGTACCCACTGTATACTAGGCACTGTAATTATGTGCATAACGTAAATGGTCCTAGCCCTCTTGAAACTGACAATCAGATTATTAAACATGCTTTTAACAATGCAGTGTTGTATGAGATATAATAGGGGATATACAGAATGTACTAGGACCTTATAAGAAGCCCCAAGAAGCCAATGTGAGAAGTTGGATTGCATGGTATCGCCATTCCCACTCAAGATTGAATGACAAGCTAGTGAGTACAAAGTGTTCTATTTGCTTTTTAGCTGACAATCAACGTAGACACAATTTATTTAGATAAGATCGTATTTGCTGGGCTAAGAGATAGCTCAGCAGCACAGTGCCTGCCCGGCAAGTGCGAGGTCCTGAGTTTGATTCCCAGTCTCCCCCTACTGCAAAGCAATGAACATATTTGCTGAGTCACTTTTAATACATGACTATCTTCTGGTATCAAGTTCATAGTCCAGGTATTGTGCATGTCCACAGGTGCAGTGCCTGTTCTTTAACTGAGAAATGTGTAAAGGTCACTGTGGAGAGGAAGAGGAACCACCTTTACCCTGACCCCACCCAAGATCCCCTCTGTATCCCAAGATCATTATGGGTCACTCAATACATCAGGCTTTCTTGAACTTTCCTAGGCTTTCTGAGCACGTTCACAGAAGCTCAAGGCTTAAAGAACAGTTAAAAATCCACTGTCTTAACATGAATGGGGTACAGTAGCACAAATTTATGCCCAGCCATTTAGTTGGACATATTTGTTTGGGTGACGAGTTTTTAGAGCTTTTGGAGGGTACCCCAAGCTATATGTCTACACTCTCTGCTGGTAAAAGAATGGATCCAATCATTCATATTTTGCCACAGGATGTAGTCTAAGAAATCAGAAGAATCTTTGGAGGATGTTAGGGAATATAAAGAGAAAGTAGATTCGTAGTTGGGGGGAAATCAAGTATTGAAGAAAACATCATGAAAAGATCTAGAAAGCATATGTGTTTGCTGGTGAGCTTTAAAACATAGAAAAGAAGATGATTCAGAAAGCATTGACAGCTGGTAGGGAAAGCTTGAGGGAGGAATGTACTGTCCAACAGGCCGAACTGGGAACCTGGTCCCTCTCTCAAGATCCACAGCAGCAGCAGTGAATGGGTCGCCCTCTGGAGACCAAGGCAACCAGACAGACTCAGTTCCCATTAAAGGTCACCCTGAACGGGCTGTAGCTTCAGTGTGGTGGTTAAGAAGTACCCTAACCCCTCTGTACTGCAGTCTCCTTCCAATAACGAAAGGCCACCTGCCATTGTGTGTGAAGCATTGTCGTGTATGTCCACCTCATAGACATTTGTTATTGACTTCATTGTGTTACCCCAAGTTATAGTTACTGAGTTTAATCTAACTCCATTTCTCCTTTCCATCAAACCTCTTTCTGCCTATCTTTCTGTCTTATCTCTTTAAATGTATACTATGCATGTGCACATATAACTTATATGTTTCTTTGTCTTTCTCCCCCTCTCTCCCCCCATAGGTCTGGGTTCTGCTTTCATCAGAAAGAAGGAGGAGGAGGAGAATGATATTTGTGAATGAATTCTCTCAGTGTTCTTGAAAGGAAAATGTTGAGTGAGTGGAAGTGTAACCTAGTTACTATACCCTGCCCTGTTCTGACAGAGTTGTAGGGATAAAGGCAAAGCCCTGAGGCACTTTGTCCTGCTTGGTTGTGTTTACTTTCTCTGCACAGAGGAGCAGACAGTGTGTGCAGAGCTCTGTGGTCACAGGGTGACAACATAGGAAGATCTGCTCTGATACACGCATGGTGGACTGGCCGGTTGCTTTTGATTTTGGGCTTAGAATATGGCTGGAGTTAGAACCAGGTTCATTACTGTGAAACTTGTAGCTGCTTCATGTGTCTTCTTTTTGCTTTTTAAACTTTTTGGGGGATGAAAACAGAAGTTTAAAATGCTCCCTATACGTACATCTCTAAAAGAAATTCAGTTCAGCCCTAATGCCATGCCATAGACAATCCCTGTACAGGATGACATACTTAACTGAGTATGTTTACATGTATGTGTAAGCACATTTTAGTAGTCAGCATATGTGAATTTAAAAACAAAGATTCTACCTATTCTTCTACTCTAAGCTTTTCTCCACATAAACATAAATTAGAAGAAAATTCCACCCTTAATCACAGTACCCACCTTGCATTTCTTTTGTTTGACTTTCACAGGTAACAGGTCGTAGCTTAAGTGCGTTGGGATTACTCTTCTCTTAGAATACATTTTTAGCTCTTCAAGTTTAGAAATGTCTCCCAGTTCAATAGGAGATGTGAGAGTGATTCTAGCGTTGGGAATGTTCTCAATGATCTCTGCAATCCAATGAGTCCCTTTACACAAACATAAAATGCAATGTAGCTTTAATTAAATGTCACTCTCGAAATGCATTGAAGAAAATTAGCATGTTATGAAAACAATGAACACATTTATTTTATTATAAATAGTACTGTTACACCCATTGAAACTGCTGAAACACTGGAAATGCTAATTCATTTTATAGGTAGAATCTCATTTTAAAGAGTGAGAGGTGTGAGCACCGTGCATGCTGTTATTTTGGCTTGATATATGCTATATTATCACTCAGTTCGAGACCTTTTAATTCACAAATTTACAAAGATCTTTTATATATGAGTCCCACTTGTCCTGAAAGCTCATGTACCTTCCTACCTTCCTCATTTATACTCTTACCCTTTTCTTTCTTTCTTTTTCTTTCTTTCTTTCTTTCTTTCTTTCTTTCTTTCTTTCTTTCTTTCTTTCTTTCCTTTTTTCTTTCTTTCTTTCTTACTTTCTTTCTTTCTTTTTCTTTCTTTCTTTCTTTCTTTCTTTCTTTCTTTCTTTCTTTCTGTCTTTCTTTCTTTTCTTTTTCTTTTCTTTCTTTCTTTCTTCCTTTCTCTTTCTCTTCTTTCCTTCTTTCCTTCCTACCTTCTTTCCTTCCTTCCTTTCTTACTTCCTTCCTTCTCTCTCTTTTCTTTCTCTCTCTCTTTCTTTCTTTCCTTCTTTCTTTTTCTTTTTTTCTTTTGTTTTGGGGATAGAACTCAGAGTCTTGCACATGCTAGTGCCTGCCCCACTGAATTGTACACCGAGCCATTTTTATTGTTTTATTTTAAATTAGGGTCTGTCTAATTTGCCCAGGCTGGGCTCAAATTTGGGATCCTGCCCCAATCTCCTAAGCAGCTGCATTTCAGGCACTATCTTCCGCATCCCCATCCGCTGGTAGCATTGCTCATCTCTCTGTTTCCCCCAAAAGTACCCAGCTCCCACATTCATTAGAGCACATGCCAAAGTACAATGGTATGGCTGGTCTTCATGGTTTTTATTTTGTTTCCCCCTTGAAGATAAACACTGAATCATATTTTTATTTTGTGTAGATACATAGTAGTTGCACAAAGTATTGGGACAATGAATCTATGCTATATTCACATGTCATAATGATATAAGTCTGCTGCCATAGAATCTGGAAAAAGTATAACTTTATGTTAACATGAAGTAAACAGTGAGCATGCTGCAGTGATGTAGAAAGTAATAAATTGGAGCAGAGAGGGGCTGGAGATTTAGCTCAGCGGCAAAAGTGCCTGCCTGGCAAGCGCAAGGTCGTGAGTTCGGTTCCAGGTACCGGAGGGAAAAAAAAAAAAAAAAAATTGGAGCAGAGAAATAAAAATTTGCTATGGGGATAGGGGTGCCTCACTAATTTGAAAGCAATATCCCTACAGAGTTTAAAATCAGGCGTACTCTTCATTAATCTCATCATGATTTCGATGAGATACACTATTAACAGCTTTAGAGTTGAATAAATATTTAGAGTTTAAACTGTTCTCATTTTCATCATCTGTTGTAATATGAAGAATATTTTAGATTGCAGTGTTATTAAGTTTTAAATATTTATAATTACAATATTCATTCCAGTGTGACTTGTCCTGTAAGGATTTTGCATTATTTTAACAAAATATATTGCTTGGCAAGGCATTAGTAAAGTTTTAATGTTTTACACCTAATCATCTACAGGGTAAATTTTTAAAATGTCTAATGTCATTTTTTCCAGGGGAAAATTCTGAAAAATAAATGTGTAAAAATGATTATTGTAGTTTTACTGCTGCATTTCTACATTTAAAAAAAAAATGAAACAAACTCACCAGATTTTGGATAGGACACCAGGAACACGTCATCTTCTCTTACATCAAAAGAATCCAAAGCATTAAGAAGTTCTTCTGAAGACACAGTAGAAAAGAGAATCCCTCTGAATTTGTGGAGAACACTTACTTGGCTCTGGGAAGACATCTTTCATCAAATCTGTCAAAGATTACTAAACACTGACTACACAAGACACAGAGCAAGTATTGCCCAAGATCTCAACCTGAGCTGAGTGACAAAGTAATCTTAGAATTGTTAAGCTGCTGTTCCAACCAGGAAACATATATATACTCTTGCAATTCTTCACAAGAGTAATTTTTAAACCACAGCTGAGCCAAAGTCTAGTGTAAAATTGGTGTTATCTGACTTTTTGTGATAACATGTTACAAAACAATTCTACCAACTTGGTTCTGAATAGTTTATGTACACAGCCACTAAGCTATTAGAATGTAATCATTATATGAAGAAACAATAATTAATCAAATCCTTTGGCCTACGTAGGGAAAGTCTTTTAGTGGCTATAATCAATTACGTCACTGGAAAAATGATTAGAAAAATTAGACTTCTGCTTATCAATATAGTATAGGACATAACCGGTATTGCCTTTTAAGAAAAGAGAGGAAAAGAATGAGCAAAAAGAACTATACGAATCTTTCTATGAACTGACAGATGCACTTGTGCCTGAAGACAAAGCTTATAAGAATTAATTTACAAGAGAAAACATGGGAATTGGCACAGTGCCAGAAGAAAGATATGTTGAGGGTTTTCAGTAAGCAGGAAGTTTCAGATTGAGGTAAACAAACTCTCGCTTTTGTCAATTATATTGCAATACTCCTGATTTAATTACCTTTGGTACTGATGTGCCTGATTATTTTAGTAAACCACAGTTAATTTTTGCTTGCCTAACAATCAAAGAAAGTGTGCTCCAACAAAGAAATGAACCACATCTTAACTGAGCACCAAAAAGTGAAGATCTACTGTGGGAGAAATAAAGAGTAAAGATATCTATGGGAGTGAAAAAAGTAAAAGTTAGAATGATCTTATACATAGAAAATCCCCCCTTGGGCAAAGGACTTCTATCTGGAATATACAAAGAATTTTAAAAAATCAGGTCCCCCAAATTCAAAAAAAAAAAAAAAAAAAAAAAAAAAAAGGCATCTGAGATGAATACACACTTCTCACATAAAAAACACAAATAGTAAATATATACATGAAAAAATGTTCAACATCATTAGTCATTTGAGAAATACAAATTAAAACAACACTGAGATTCCATCTCACCTCAGTAAGAATGGCTATCATCAAGAAATCACCCAATAACAAATGCTGGAGGGGCCGTGGGAAAAAGGAACCCTTCCCCACTGTTAGTGGGAGTGCAGACTGGTGCAACCTCTGTGGAGATCAGTTTGGAGATTCCTCAGTAAACTAGGATTAGAGGTCCCATACAACCCAGCTATTTCCCTTTTGGGTATTTTTCCAGAAGAATTAAAAACATACCATAGCAATATATGTGCACCCATGTTTAAAGCAGCACAATTTGTAATAGCTAAATTGTGGAAACAACCCAAATGTCCATCAACTGAGGAATGGATAAAAAAGATGTGGAGTTTTTATATAATGGAATATTACTCAGCTATAAAGAAAGATACACTCAAGGTTTTTATAGGTAAATGGATGCATCTAGAGACCATACTCATAACTAAAATAAATTAGACTCACATGTGTAAACATTGTATTGTCTCACCAGTGTAAGAACCTGAAAGCATAAATAAAATCTAAAAGGTATAATAGATATTGTGAAAGGCAAAGAAACTGCTCAAAGGAAAGAATGACTGGGATGAGGGAAAAGAGAAAAGAAAGAAGGGAAAAATATGAATTTATATACACACAAGATAGTGAAGATAGTTGTACTACTAATTTCTATTGCTTTATTAAAAGGAACAGTTAATATTTAATTATCTGATCAATATAACATGCCTATGTTTATTTAACTGAGTAACCAATTTGAAGATAATATGTAATACAACTATTGTTAATTTCCTATCACCAACAACTGTTGTTAATTTCTTATCACCAAAACTCTCTATTGCTTTTATTGCTTTTATGTTGTTTTATTTATGTCTGTCTGTTTGCTAATGTGTTGGTTCTTTTATCTTTAAAATAAAATAAAAGGTTGTGTGTCTGTTAATGCTTTCCTCCTTTTAGTTTTAAAATTAAAAAAATAAAAAATAAATGACATAAAAAATGAAAAGAACAGAAAGTCCCCAAGTGTCTCTAAACAATTAAAATAAATATGTGTGTGCATTGAGCACCGCTGCTGGATTAAAGGGTCAATACATGAAAATAAACCGTATTCATATATTCTAACAAAAACCAACTTAAAAGCAAAATTTGAAAAATGGAACTGTTTATAATAACATGAAAAAAACCTCCATAAATAAATCTAACAAAAGATGTGTAAGGCACTGAAAACTACAATTACAGAGATGAATTTAAAACATTTAAATAAACACAGAAATAAAATACACTAGAATAATTCCATATACTGGAATACTCAATGTTATTAAAACATCAACATCCTTCTTATTGACTTATGAATTTAATGTTTGCTCAGAATTCCAACACATATGCACATATGTATATGCATCTGATTGTGTGTGTATATGTGCATATGTACATGTGTGTGTAAATTCACAGGTCTTCAAAGGCAAAGTTCCCAGAATAGCCAAAAAATATCTTGAAGAAAAAAATTCTGCAGGCCTTATTTTGTGAGATTTCAAGATTATCCATAGACCCGCAGGAATTTGTATACTGTCACCTGAGCTCAGGGGTACACATACAGACCAATAGACTAGAATAAAGACTACAGAAGAAGACCCACATGTGCACGGTTACTTGATTAATGACAAAGGTAAAATTCAGTGAGAAAAGAAATCTTTAAAATGAATGGAACTCATTGAATTGGAACCCTGGGAGGGAGGGTAAAAAAATTTCCCTACCTGACATGATATACAGAGAAAAATTCAGGATGAATCACAAGGAATTATTTTAAAATTAAAAATCTTCCAGAAGAAAATATAGGAGAATATCTTCACAATTTTTCAGAAGGCAAAGATTTCTTAAAATGCTCTGCAAAAGCACTAATCACTTACAAATTACAATGGGAGTCATTAACTTAAAGACCTCTTTTGATTAAAAATCACCATTAAGAAAAGCACACATTGCCAGAAGATATCATACTACACGTATTAAATATTGTGCTCATTTTCAGCTTCTTTAAAGAACCTCTATTAATTAATGTTTAAAAATTAAAAGAGCAACAAAAAAGAACAATACGTGAAAACAATGAAATGATATGCAGTATTATTATTCACTTAGAAAATTACACTTAGATCCAACTATATAAAGGTGAATGGCAGCATGAGGAGCTCTGCGGTAAAATAATCATAAACAATGACAAGTCTTTTAACAATCAAATAAGCATTTAAAATGTCTAGAAACAGCCTTAAAAGCAGAGAGCAAATGAAGAAATGTTAATTCAAGACAATGTACTAAATACTGACAGAGGGAGAGTCTACAAGTAAGGCGTGAACTGCTCCCTTTATCCACGGGATATCTCTGCCAACCTGACAAGCAAAAACACGGCCAAAAATAAGGCTCCTTTCTCTCCTAGCTTCCAGGCAAGGGGCACTGTTTTTTCCTGGGAAGGACAAGGCACCAGTATGCTCATTTCCAACTCTTTGTTTGCAGAGGCTAAACTCTGGTTGACAACAGTCAAGTGGAGGTGACCTCTTGTCCTCCATCCAGGTGCTAGCCAGAGGGGACAAGCTCTACTCTTGGTGAGGCAGAAAGAAAAGTACAGAGCACCTGCACGACACTGACCCCTTATAAGTCAAAAGTTCTACATCAAGAGAGGCAAACTGAAAAGGCCAGATCTATTACTCCTTTCCAGAGCCCCACTCATAGAGCAAGGGAGTTACTCCAAGAGGAACTGGCCACCATCCCCACTCTGAGAATCCAGAGCAATAACTCTGAGATATTTCCTAGATGGAGAAGGTAGGGGTAAGAACAAAGAGCTGTGAAATGCTCTACAAATGAAAATACTTCCCTTCTCTTCAAACACACTTGTCCCATTGTTCTTGCCACTCTGAAGCAGTTCTGGAAGTACTCTTTCATAAATGTCTTCAGCTGTGCTACAGTAGCTGCCTGGTTGCCTTGAATCAATTCAAAATGTTCACCTTCCTGGTCATTTAGACATTGGAGAAGAGTCAGTATTTACAGGTGCTGATCCAGTAAATAATGTAAATGAAGACCCATTGTGATATTTTTATGAGCATGCCTTTCTATTTAGTGGCACGTAGGGTCAGAATTCACCATATTTTATGTCATTCCTCAAAAAGGCATTCAGGAAAGAAAGCCTGCAGAACTGCTTCAGAAAGTGGTAAAAACAGTGGGATACACTTGTTTGAAGGGAAGAGTATTACGAGGGGATTAATGGCCATGTGTCTTTTACTGTAATAATGTGCTTTAATTTAACATTCATCATATATTTTCATTGGTCCTTGTATGTTCTCCTCACCAGAATGGAACTGAGCTGGAAATAAACCGCACTAAGTCATTTGAGAAGTTAACACAGACATGGACTTTATACAACACACTCCTAAGTATTGCGCTAAAGAAATTAAAGAGAAACAATAAAATATTTGAGATAAAAATGAAAAGTAAAACATCTAATATGACATAACAAAAACTTAGGGGATTCAGTTAAAACAATACTTACAGAGAAATCTGTAGCTATAAATACATATTGATAAAATAAGACATATTTTAAATTGATAGTCTAATCTCCTTAAAGGTAATGGAAAAAACACCAAACTAAACCTAGAAGCAGCAGAAGAAAACAAATAAGAATGAGAATAGAAATTGATGGAAGAGAGAGCACAAAGACGATACAGAAAAAAGGTGAACCCAAAAGCTGGATCTTAGAATAAAGTTGTCAAGCTCTTAACTGAGGTAACAGCGACGAAAAGGAGGAGAGGAAAAGAACGAGACATTACTACTCTAAGGAAAGAAAAAAGCACTATTAGGGAGTCTGTTAACTGTATTCTAGCCCATTAGATAATTTAGACGAAATGAACTAATCTCTGGAGAGAGACACACTAGCAAAACTGACTCAAGAAGGAATAAAATACACTGTATATGAATAGATCAAGTTTGTGATAATTTTATTTTTCCAC